TCTTCAGAAGGGTCCAGACCCGAAATGTCAGCTTTCCTGCTCCTCTGATGCTGCCTGGCCTGCTGTGTTCATCCAGCTCTACACCTTGTTATCTCAGACTCCAGTATCGGCAGTTCCTACTATCTCTGAGGTACATGGGAAGCATGATTTGAAAATATCTAAAGGATGAAGTAAGATACTGCTGACGTCAAGATACAGGTCACATCAGGCTTCTCATTCAATTCTGGCTGTGGCTCAGATTCCTATAACATTCCACCCATGTAGGTGTCATTTTGTTAAACCTATGTTGTACTCCCTTCCAGGCCAATTTATTATTCGTACGGTGACCTATAAACAGCTCAAAATAACTACCAGGTGTGATTTAAGCAGGGCTTTGTCTAGTTTTTATGTTGTTCACCATAGGATAAATGGAGCCATGCGAATGCATGTATTTCTTCAATTTCCTAATCAGCTTGCAGATTTAACCAAAGCAATTGCACAACGTACAATTCAGTGCAGGAGATGAATAATAAAACGGTTTTGAAGTGCAGGAGGTCATTCAGCCCATTGTGCTCGTACCTGTTCCCTGCAATACCAATTTAGTGAGTTGCATTTATGGTCTGCCCTTTTAGCTGTCACTCTGCAATTCACCCCACCCCACTGCCACATCCTTTTACAGAGTCATAGAGGTATTCAGCGCGGAAACAGGCTATTTGGTTCAGCTCGTCCTCGCCGACCAAATATCCTAAATAGGTCTAGTCCCATTTGCCAGCATTTGGCCCTTATCCCTCTAAACCCTTCCTATTCATGTACCCATCCAGATACCTTTTTAAATGTTGTATGGAGAGATTGGAGGGCTTATCTGATTTCCTTTTGAAATTTCTTCCCAGTTGGATGAATTTCGGTCTTTCTTGGCAGAATCAGAGCCTCCGAGCTGTGAATCGTGTGGTACAGCCCCATCCATTCCCCTTTGTGGCTGGGTTTCATTGTTTCTGCTTACCTGTTGTACCTGTTACCTGTAGCGCGCCTGCTCCCTGTTCAGGTACTGCCTGCGGCTGCGTGGGTGCCTCCGTGTTTACCCGCGCCGAGCCTATCAGCGGGCGTCTTACACAGCAGTGCGGCGGGTGTCTGGGCTGATTGGCTGGTCCTTCCAGCCAATGGCGGCGGCCGTTGCGGCGCCGCACGGTGATCGCGGACGGGGAACGGAAGATGGGCGGCGTGAGGTTGGAGATATTCCGGGTAAATAAAACCACGGGGACGGGGGAACCATAATGTTATTATTCAATATGTGAAGCAGCAGCAGTAGCTGTCATCGAGGGAGGAGGAGCCTCAGGACGAGGACGGTAATATTATGAAAATGGCAGGAGGCCAAACAAATGTCACTAAAACTGTTCCTGGGGCAGCAAAGAAAATCCTAGGCCATGGAAGAGGGAAGGCATTCGGACACGCTCACAGGCACACCAGTAAAACTAAATTCTCTCTGTGGAGAGAACACACTTCTTCAGAACTAAAAGCAAACACTGCTGGAGATCACAGCGGGTCAGGCAGCATCCATAGACAGAAATAACACAGTATGGAGCTGGAGGAACACAGCAGGCTCCAGCTCCACACTGTGTTATCTCAGACTCCAGCATCGGCAGTTCTTACGATCTCCATAGACAGAAAGCAAGCTAACACTCCTCCAGTGCCACAACTATGCCACCCGAAGGCTGGAGGAACAGCATCTCATATTCCTCTTGGGAACCCTGCAGCCCAATGGTCTCAATGTGGACTTCACAAGCTTCAAAATCTCCCCACCCCCGACCTCAGCCCCCTTGACCCGTCTGTCTTCCTGACCCTCCCTCCCAACCAACGCCCATCCCAACTCCCTACCTACACTCACCTTTACTGGCTCCATCCCCGCCTCCTTGACCTGTCCGTCTTCTCTCCACCTATCTGCTTCTCTCTCCTCCTTCCATCATCGTCTCCCCTTCTCTGTCTATTTATTTCAGAGTCCCAGTCCCCTTCCCCTCTCCCATTTCTGAAGAAGGGTCCAGACCCGAAACGCCAGCTTTCCTGCTCCTCTGATGCTGCCTGGCCTGCTGTGTTCATCCAGCTCTACACCTTGTTATCTCAGACTCCAGCATTGGCAGTTCCTACTATCTTATTTCGAATCTAGATGACTCTTCATCAGAGCTGACATGAAGTGTGGAGGGGGACAGCATTTATGCTATAGTGGAGGGCAGAGTGGGTTGTTGGAGGGCTGGGGGAGAAAGGATGTCGATAGTTCAGATTAAGTGAGAGGAATGTGAGAATGACAAAACAATGTTGTGTCTAACTGCCAGATTGGAAAGAGCAGACAGTCCCACTGGGGTAGATGGGGGGGTGGGGTGGGGTGGGCTGATGTTGGTGGGGGCTAGTGGGTGGGGTAGTGGGTGGGGCGCAATACAACAAGCAAAGCTAAAAGAAAGGGAAAGAATGGGTTCACAATTTGAAAGTGTTGAACTCAATATTGAGCCCAGAAGACTGTAAAGTGCCTAGTCTGAAGATGAGATGTTGCTCCTCCAGTTTGCACTGTGATGCGCTGGAGCATTCAGCATGCTGAGGACGGACAAGTATGCATGCGAGCAAGATACTGTATTAAAACTAAATAGCCCAATGGCAGCTAGGTGAAGGTGGTATTTATGCTGATGATGGATTTGATTTATTATGGTCACATGTATCTAGGTACAGTGAAAGGTTTTGTTTTGTGTGCAGTACATAACATACAAAGATCATGGGTGATTGGACAGAATGAGGAATACAAAGTTACATCTGCAAAGAAGGTATGCAAAAAGCAGGATCAACATTAGATTTGAAATTTAAGAGGTCCATTCAGAAGTCTAATAATAGCAGGGAAGAAGTTGTCTTTGAACCTGTTGGTATGTGTGTTTAAGCTTTTGTATCTTCTGCCCAACAGAAGAGATTGAAGGAGATTATAACTGGTTTGGGAGGAGTCTTTGATGTTGGCTGCCTTTCCGAGGCAGTGAAAAATGTAGATGGAGTCGATGGGTGGAAAGTTGGCTTGCTGGACTGGGCTGTGTGCACAACTCTGTAGAGTCATAGAGTAATACAGCATGGAAACAGGCTCTTCATCCCAAACTGGTCTATGCAGATCATGGTGCCCACTCAGCTAGTTCCAATTGTTCATGTTTGGTCCATATCCCTCTAAACCCTTTCCATCCATGTACCTATTCAAATTTTTTTAAAATGTTGCTATTGTATGTGCCTCAACCACTTTCTCTGGCAGCCCATTTCATATATGCACCACTCTCTGTGTGAAGAAGTTGCCCGTCAGGTCCTTCTTAAATCTTTCCCCTCTCACCATAAACCTATGCCCTCTACTTTTCAATTCCCCATCCCTGGAAAAAAAGCCTATATGCATTCATCCTATTCATGACCCGCATGATTTTATACACGTCATTAAGGTCACCCCTCATTGTCCTACATTCCAAAGAATAAAGTCCTATCCTGGCCAACCTCTCCCCATAACTCAGGCCTACTAGTCCTGGCAACATCCAGTTGCACACTTTCTAGTTTAACAACGTCTTTCCTATTACAGGGTGACCAAAACTGTACACAATACTCCAAATGTAGCCTCACCAACATGTTATACAACTGTAACATAACGTCCCAACTGCTATAATCAATGCCTGGACCAATAAAGGCCAGCATACTAAATGCCTTCTTCATCACCCTGTCTGCCTGTGCTGCCGCTTTCAACAAGCTATTTATTTGTACTCCTAGGTCCCTCTGTTCCACAACACTCCTCAGGACCTTACCACTTACTGTATAAGTCCTACCTTGGTTGGACTTTCCAAAGAGCAAGACCTCATACTTACCTGTATTGAATTGCATTTGCCAATCCTCAGCCCACTTCCCCATCTGATCAAGATCCCTCTATAATTTTCGATAACCTTCCTTGCTGTGAACGATACCTCCTAATTTTGTATCATCCGCAAACTTACTAATCATGCCTTGTACATTCACATCCGGATCATTTATGTAAATAACAAATAGATGGGATGGGGGAGATAAGCACCACCTTTTCCTAGCTGCTATCAGTTCTGAAGAAGTGTCCCTGGACTTGAAACATCTTTCTCACAGATGCTGCTGAGTTTCTCCGGTGATTTCTATGCTTATTAGTTCCGGCATCCACAGTTCCTTGCTTTAAATTAGATTCTGTTTCTGGCTTCCAAAAGACTTCAGCGCAGCTGTAGTGTTTCTTGTGTAGGCTGCTGCTGCAAAAATACTCAGCAGAATCTTTGTGTGTGTGCATGTGTGTGTTTGTTTGAGCAAGACAGAAAATGCAAAGTTAATCTTAGGTTTATATAGGTTGATGATCTCATTATAGTAGGCTATCTCTTGGGAAGGGTCACCGGACCCAAAACGTTAACTCTGATTTCTCTTCAGCAGATGCTGGCAGACCTGCTGAGCTATTCCAGCAGTCTCTATTGTTGCTTCTGATTTACAGCATCCGCAATTCTTTTGGTTTTTATTTAGAAGGTTATGCTGACTGAGTGGGAGGAGGTACATTTGGAGCGTAAAATATGTTGGGTTCAATGGCCTGATTCAATGCTGAATGTTCTATTTCAAGAAATGATGTATAATTCACTGTAATGAAATCCAATGTTCTTTTCAATCCTCATCTATTGATTGCAAATTGTTCACATTTGTCTTTTGATGGCTGCTTAGACATAACTGTTTACAAAACATTAATTTCAGAGGGATGAAAAAATGTGACTTAGAGCAGGAAAAAGAATGTTTTTCATATTGCTTGACGGCTAATGGCCTGCTGTAATCATAGGAGTTGAATAGTTTGATTCTGTAACATACCAACAAGTAATGATGTAGTATTTAAGAGAAAAGCTTCTTTTGGTGAACTTCTGCCCCGTGTTTTCCTACAATAAATTCCATTGGTTTTTCCATTGGTTTTTTTCTCCATCTTTGTCTTTCCTGTTTTTTTTAAATCATTTCTCTTCCATGTTATTTCCCATTTGCTGCTGTCAAATGATTGTGTCCAATTATTTTCACATCTCAAACATGCAGCCCCTGCTTGAGGTGCATTCAATCATGTTGGGATAAACACCTGTTAGTCGCTGATAAAAGGATTGTTTTAGCAATTGCTAGTGACTGACATTGTCTAGCCAGACCTTTTGCAATTCTTACTTTTTCACTTGTTTTGTGATGGGCTCTTGTATGGAAATTATCTGTAACTTTCTTAGCTTAGAACATGAAAATTCAGATTCTTGGTTTTCTTTCCTATTGATACTTTATGACTCAGCTATCTCTTTCGTTCTCCCTCCCTAGGGGGGAATCAATCTTACAATCTTCCCCTCCCATACACAACCTACAACAACAGTGGACACGTACCAATGCATTTAAATCTTCCAGTTGTCACAGATGTTGTGATCATGATCATTAGTGTTAAGTGCACATTGTATGGAAATAAATGATCTTGGTGTACAGGACACAATTTCAAAACTCGTGGGTGTTACAAAACTTGGAGCATTTTAAACTGTGAGAAGGATTCCACAGAACTTCAAAAGGACATAGGTTGGTGGAGTGAGTGGTAGGTGACACATGAAGTTCAATGCAGAGAAATGTGAGGTGATTTTGATAGGAAAGACATGAAGGACCAATACAAAATAAAGGGTATAAATCTAAAGGAGCAGAGGGACCTGGGTGGATATGTGCATAAGTCACTAAAGGTGGCCAGACAGGTTGTACCAGCAGTTAATAAGGTATAGTATCCTTGGCTTTATTTAGAGTGGCATAAAGTGCAGCAACAAGGAGGTTACGTTTAACTTGTGCAAGAAACTAATTTGGTCTCAGCTGGAGTATTGCATCCAATCAGCACTGCTGCACTTTGGGAAGGATGTGAAGGTACTGGGAGAGTGTAGAAATGGTTTGAGAATTGTTCATGGGATAAGGAATTTCAGTTATGAAGATAGGTTGGAGAAGTTGGCTGTTTCCCCCGCAAGAGAAGGCGAAGAAGAGATCTGATTGAAGCGTTCAAATTATGAGGGGTCTGAACAGAGTCAATAGGGAGAAACTGTTCCCACTTGTGAAATAATTGAGAATGACAGCAAACATATGTAAAATAATTAGTACAAGAAGCAAAAACTGATGTGATTTTTATGCATTGTGCGGTTAGGATTGAGAGGCATTGTCTGGCAGTGTGGTAGAAGCAAGTTCAATTCAATATTCAAAAGGAAATTAGACAGTTACTTGAAATTAAACAATGTGCAGGGTACGGGGAAAAGGCAGGAGAACAACACTAAGCAAGACAGTTGGTACAGACAATAAACTGAATGAAATTCTTCTGTGTTTTAACAATTTTAAGAGTTGCTGAAAACTTTTAAAAAATTACAGTTAATTTGTATACAAGAGTTGTGCATTCTCAGTGATGGAGAGCTCTGATCTCCTCTTGACATCCCATGTTTTGCCATAACTGAATCCTCGACTAACAGCATTCTGGGGGTTGCCATTGCCCAGAAACATTGCCAGCCATATAAATACTGTGTCAACAGAGAGAGCTAGGAGTTTAGTTGCATAGTTCCTTGAAAGTTGTCTCACAGGTAGACAGGGGCTAAAGAAGGTGTTTGGCATGCTAGTGTTTATTGCTGACACCATTGAGTATAGGAGTTGGGATATGTTGCAATTGTATAGGACATTGGTAAGGCCACTTTTTTGGATTACTACCTACAGTTCTGGTCGCCCTGCTATAGCAAGGGTATTATTAAATTGGAGAGGGTGCAGAAAAGATTTACAAGATGTTACCGGGACTGGAAGGTTTGAGTAATATGGAGAAGCTGGATCAGCTGGGACTTCTTTCATTGGAGCATGGGGGTTGTGGGATGACCTTATCGAGGCTTATAAAATCATAAAAATCATAGGTAAGGTGAGTAGCAAAGGTCTTTTCTCTGTGGCAGGGGAGTTCACAACTTCAGGGAATCATTTTAAGGTGAAAGGAGAAAGATTTAAAAGGGACCTGAGGGACATCTTTTTCACACAGGGTGGTTCGTATGTGGAATGAACTGCCAGAGGAAGTGATAGGTGCAGGTACAGTTACACATTAAAAAGACATTTAGACGGGTACATGAATTGGAAAGGGTTAGAGTAATATTGGCCAAGTGCAGGCAAATGGAACTAGTTTAGTTTGGGAAACTTGATTGATTTATTGTTGTCACATACTGAGATGCAGTGAAAAGTGTTGTTTTGCATGCCAAACAGGAAGATCATATCATACAAAGTGCATCAGAGTAGCCGAACAGAGTGTAGTGTTACAGCTGCAGAGAAGATACAGAGAGAGAGATCAGAATTAGCATTTGAGAGGTCTGTTCAAAAGTCTGATAACAGCAGGGAAAAAGTTGTTTTTGAATCTATTCGTATGTGTATCCAAACTTTTATATCTTCTGCCTGACAGAAAAGGGTGGATGAGAGTATAACTGGGATGGGAAGGTCTTTGATTATGTTGGTTGCTATCCCGAGGCAGTGGGAAGTGTAGATAGAGTCAATAGATGGAAGGCTAGTTTGCGTGATGGACTGGGCTATGTTCATGACTCTCTGTAGTTTCTCACAGTCATGGGAAGAGCAGTTGCCATACTACACTGTGATACATCCAGATAGGATGCTTTCTATGGTCGGCATGGACAAGTTTCTATGCTGTATGAATCTATGGCTCTAAAAACAAGTCAGATTCTGGGAATTCTGCTGAGAGTAACTCAACTAAATTCTCAAAGACTATGCACCATCTACGAGGTACAAATCAGGAGTGAACGAGATTTTTCATAAGATTTTTTTTATAAGTGTGAGGTCATCCAGTTTGGTAGGAATAACAGGAAAATGAACTATGTTTTAAATGGTAAAAAATTGCAGCACACTGCTGTGCAGAGGGACTTGGGTGTCCTTGTGCATGAATCACTAAAAGTAGGATTTCAGGTGCAGCAGGTAATTAAAAAGGCAAATGGAATTTTGTCTGCCATTGCTAGAGGGATGGAGTTTAAAAACAGGGAGGCTATGCTGCAGCTGTATAGGGTCCTGGTGAGGCCACACCTGCAGTACTGTGTGCAGTTTTGGTCTCCTTACTTGAGAAGAGATATACTAACACTGGAGGGGGTGCAGAGGAGAATCACTGGGTTGATTCCAGAGTTAAGAGGGTTGGATTATGAGGAGAGACTGAGTAGACTGGGATTATACTCATTGGAATTCAGAAGAATGAGGGAAGATCTTCTAGAAACATATAAGAAAATGAAGGGAATAGATAAGGTGGAGGCAGGGAGGTTGTTTTCGTTAGCAGGTGAAACTAGGACTAGAGGGCATCGCCTCAAACTAAAGGGAAGCAGATGTAGGACTGAGGTCAGGAGGAACTTCTTCACCCAAAGGGTTGGGAATCTGTGGAATTCCCTGCCCATTGAAGCGGTTGAAGCTACCTCGCTGAATGTTTTTAAGGCAAGGCTAGATAAATTTTTGAACAGTAAAGGAATTAAGGGTTATGGTGAGTGGGCGGGTAAGCGGAGCTGAGTTTCAAAAAGATCAGCCATGATCTTATTAAATGGCGGGGCAGGCTCGAGGGGCCAGATGGCCTACTCCTGCTCCTAGTTCTTATGTTCTCCACACACCTGGATGAGTGCAGCTCCAACAACACTCAAAGCTTGACACAATCCAGGATAAAGTAGCTTGTTTGATTGACACCCCATTTAACACCTTAACGTTTACTTCCTTCACAACCAATGCACAGTTGTATCAGTGTTATGGAACACCCTCCCTAACAGCTCTGTGGATGTACCTACACAATATGGACTGCAGTGGTTCAGGAAGGCAGCTCATCATCATCCTCACAAAGGCAGATAGGGAAGGGACATAATCTAAGCTGACGTTCCATTATCAAGGAAGTAATATATTGTTGGAATTCTTCTTTGGATGTGACAACAATCCACAGCTAGTGGAGGTGATGTTGAATAACCTACATCGTTGTTCAATTTCCAGGCTAACATTGTCCAAATATAAAATGGACCTTCCTCTCTGTTGATGTAAGATATTGCTAATATAAATTAGCTATATGTTCTGTTTATATGTAAGCCACTGCATTCAAGATAGCTTATACTTAAGTCAATTTACTGATAATGTTATATAAATGCATTCTTGAATACTTATTCACCAATGTGACACTTGAATACACTGTGAGACCTGAATGATTGTAAAATTCGAGGTAATTGTGTGGATACAAAGCAGTCAAGATGTTTAATTGAATTTGTGCATCAGGCTGTTTATAATTTTAACTGTTTGTTTTTCATCAGATGTGCCTTTACCTGTCATTCCCAGTGACAGTGTTTTGGATCTCCAATCAAGCAGAGTACTTTGAGGAATATGTGATCAAAAGAAAGGTCAGTGAGTGATAGGCTGCAATTTGCAGTTGTTCAAAAGGTTACATTGAAGTGTGTACTACTATTCATTAGCATGAAATGTTGAGGTTCAGAAAGCTAAGTCGAACGTACATTTTGTGTCAATAACCCCCCCCTCACGCAAGCAATCAAAGGTAGAGTTGTCCATGAGCTCTTACACATCCTGGTGGTCAGGGACATTGGATAAAAGAAGAAATTTCAGTGTCTGGGATTTAAGTCCGATCTTCTACAAGTTGATGGTGGCACAAGCATAAGTTCACTCATTTTCACTTCTACTTGTGATTCTCCCCACCTCTCCAGTCCAGCTGTTTGTTGGGCTTCATAAAATAATGAGAAGTTCATTTCTTGTGAGGGTTTTTTTTCCCCATCACTTTGTATGGTGCCCTCTGTACTGTTGAATGCATTTCACTTTGTATTTTTCAGAGAGAGATCTATCCACCAGAAGAGAAGATGCGTGTAAGTACTTGAACTCATGAACCTTACTTTTTAACTCTTTCTCTTATTACTTTGTACCTAAGTTTTTTTGTACCTAAGATGGCACCATGTGTGGCAACATTATATACTTTTCACTGTACTCCTGTACTTGAGTACACGTGACAATAAAATCTAAATCTAAATCGTGCAGTCACCTGGCTAAAAATGAAGAGTTTCAGTTTGCTTTTCTCATAAAGCACTTCGTATATCTAAGGGAATTGAGGGATATGAGGAAAAAACAGGAAGCTAGATTGAAGTAGACGATCTGCCATGATCATACTGAATAGCAGCAGACTTGAAGGGCTGAATGGCCCATTCCAGCTCCAACCTTTCTTAAGTTTCAATGACCGAAAATTAATTTTACAACAGTGCCTTATAGCAAGATAGATTTTTTAAAAACAAATCTTCCATAAAGGAACATTCTACAAGCTGCAAAAGTAATTTCCTGTTTAATGTCTCAATGCAATCATTTATTTCCATTATCACTGGAGAAGGGGCAGCAACTATCATATCTAGATTGATATTGTTGACCTTTTGTAAATAGATTCCTGCTTGCAGAGATATGTGTTATTGCTTTGAGATATGTAGTGATCTTAAATACTTCAACCAATTCTTGCAACACAGTACCATAAGGGTAGTTTTTAAAAATATTTTAAAGAAAACATGCACCTTTGAACTATTGATCAGCTTCAAGAATTGATTTTGATGCTTTTTTTTAATGATTGCAGCGGAAAGAGCTGGAAGACTTCAAGGAACGAATGAGGGAAAAACGGGAACAAAAACTACTGCGTACACTAGAAACCCAAAAAACACAAGAACAGTAAAGCAGAGTCAATATTGCACAAGCTGCCTCCAACTTTCACCAGATCTTCATGTAATTCAAGTGTTGGAATTTTGCACGACTGTTTGTTTTTCTCTTCTCTGTGAATCTTTATCAGCTGTTGATTATTACATAAAAGCCAATCTGTATGCAAATCTTAAGTTATTTTTTACAAAATAAAAATAGTACATAGCTATAACTGCGACAGAAGAAAATTTGTTCGCTGAATCTTTGCACATAATTTGCGCGTCATAAAGCTGTTTTGGTTTTGACCACTGCATCTCTTTGAAGTTTGCATCAATATATTAGACTCAGCGGTATGCGGACTAAAGTAACTGTACTGTTATGAATTGAGCAATTTGCTTGTGGTAATCAGACATTATTTGGGCTGGAGAAGCATAATTCGATTGGCAGTCATCCTTAGTTAGTCCAGCATCCTTTGCAGAGCTCTGCCTCTAGTGGTTGTCTGTATTTGTCTGCTTTAATAGCTTAATATTGATCCACCATTTACGTGGTGCTTCAATGATCCCAAGTCAAGGCTATTGCTTTCTATCCCATATACTTCACATAGCCCAGAATTGCTTTGTGTCAATGAGAGCAATAAACCTCGTAGCATTTGCTAGTAGCTGTTGTGTCTTTTTGTTATATCTGTATAATTGTGACAGAGTTTCTGAAATTGGAAAACTAATGTTTTCTGAATATGGACAGATATGGTGGCTCTTTTTCAAGGGTAGCCCACCGCAGGCTGTCACATATGCAGTCTGTCATTGATTCATAACGATTGGGAGTACCTTTATTGCTGGGGTCCAAAGAAAACATTTTAAAATTGAGAAGTTCTTTTTTATATGCACACACAATTCCAGAAAATCATTCAACAATTTTAAACTATGGGTGAACAATGACTAGTAAATTATTTTAGAACTATTTCATAGGTAGATAGGGACGGGAAGAGGAAGCAACTGTGGTGTATATAATGACAAGTGCATTTTGTTAATGCAGTGAATCGTCAACCAGGGAACGTAAACATCTGATTCAGGGAAATAAAAGGGAAATCTATCATTCAAGTGTGTACAATAGTTACTATTAATTTCGCTTGCACTCTGAACTGGAAGCTAGGTTATAATAAATTATGATGACAAAGAAGCAATAAAACATTTCAGTTTTACTAAAGATTTTTAACATTTGTGGAGGTGTAATTACTGTTTCTATCTTTTTGTTAAAGGTCTGATTGACACTTAATTAAATAGCACAAGACAACGTTACATTCATTCCAATTTCTATCATTGTGTAGGTGGCTAGAATATCAGATTAATCACTATTGCTTCTGCTGAGCAGTGCTTTCCTCGGTCTGGTAAGTGCCCTTTTTAATGGTACGCTTAATCAAGAGGAATTGACGTTTTGTACCAGTGACGTATTTAAAACAGTAAAGAAAATATTGCATTAGTGGTCAGTATCAGCCTCTGCAAAAGGCTCAGGAAATATTTCCCTGCTGTGGAAATGGACTGAACTATTAATTTAACAGCTGATGTTTGGTGCAAGAGATAACACAGTGTGGAGCTGGAGGAACACAGCAGGCCAGGCAGCATCAGAGGAGCAGAAAGTTGACGTTTTGGATCGGGACCCTTCTTCAGACCCAAAACGGCAACTTTCCTGAACCTCTGATGCTGCCTAGCCTGCTGTGTTCCTTCAGCTTCACACTGTGTTGTCTCTGACTCCAGCATCTGCAGTTCTTACTATCTCTGATGTTTGGTGCAATAGCTTTTGCATTGATTGATAGGTTAAGCTGCACGTGTATTAATGTGATATTTACAATTGATAGTGCCTTACCACACCTCTGTGTAGGGAGAATCTGAATATACTGGTTGATGGGGGATTTCATCAAGAAAGGGGCCCATTTTTAAGGTGACAGGAGAGAGATTTAGAAAAGACATGAGGGGCAAATTTTTTACACGGGGTAGTTAGTGTGTGGAATGAACTTCCTGAGGAAGTGGTGGATGTGGGTACAATTATAATGTTTAAAAGACATTTGGATAAGTACATTAATAGGAAAGATTTGGAGGGATATGGGCCAGGAGCAGGCACATGGGACTAGTTCAGTTTTGGTTTATGTTCGACATGGACTTGTTGGACCAAAAGGTCTGTTTCCCTGCTGTATAACTATAAGTCCCCTTTCACCTCAGATTCAGACATTGCAAGTGATCACAATCATAACTATATTGTGGAAAACATTTGTTAAAGTTGTGGGTACAGATATAATGTGCTGCTAAATCAATTATACCTAGATTATTGTAATTCTTGATGCTACTGACAGTATGCCAACAACCTGTCAGGGCCTTTGTGATATGAAGACCAGCGTTAAAAAGTTGAGGATTTGCAATAAGATTGACCAAACTGTAAGCATCAGGTCCAGAGATAGAGTAAAGCAGTGCTTCAGAAAAAAAAATCCAAAACTGATAGCCATCTGGTTTTAGATATGTGTATCGTTTAATTTCTTCACCAAACCCATACAAATTATTTTGAGACTGCATCTTTAAACCACTTTTCTTTTTAAAATGAGGGGATATAGAATTGAAAGCCTGGAAGACCGATGCAACTGTGATTCTGTGATGGGCAGGATTCCAGCCCCTTCAGCTCTTTTTGAGCACAGGGAAATGAACTTTCTGAGAGCCAGCACAGGTGCAGTAGGCCGAAGGGTTTCCAATGCCATACAATTCTATGATTTCATAAAAGGTAAAAAGAGTTAAAGGGGCAATAGTTTCTTTTCAAAAGGGAAATTGGATAAAACTTGTTGTTCAACGTCAAGGACCTACAAATAAAATTGCACTCTCAAATCACAGATTTTGTTGGTTGGCTAATTACTCCGGAAAAAATAGAGGTTGTCTTTGATTGCTCACCGAAAAGAATGCTACTCCACCAGGAGAGAGAATTAAGGGTTGAAGTATGATTGTGATGCCAGTCTTGGCCTTTAAAACATTGTGGATTGCAGGGGAGGGATGGACAGGAGATAAATCAGAATAAAAGTGTTTGCATTTGTAAAGAGCCTTTCAAATTCCAAGGAGTACCTTACAGTCAACAGATGACATTCGATATGTACTCACTGTTGTCTGAAAATAAAGAAATAGAGCTATTGAAAAAAAATTGTTGCAAAAGGTATGGCATGGTGGCTCAGTCCCTGCCTCACAGCGCCAGGGACCTAGGTTCAATTCCACCTTCAGGCGACTGTCTGTGTGGAGTTTACACATTTTCCCCATTTCTGCATGGGTTTCCTCCGGGTGCTCCTGTTTCCTCCATAGTCAAAAGATGTGCAGGCTAGGTGGATTGGCCGTGCTAAATTTCCCGTAGTGTTCAGGGGTGTGTAGATTAGGTGGATTATAGGAGGAGGTTTCTGGGTGGGATGCTCTGAGGGTTGGTGTGGACTTGTTGGGCCAAAGGGCCTGTTTCCACACTGTAGGGATTCTATGATAAATACTTCAGAAGATCCCAAACCACTGTACAGCCAATTAAGTGCTTCTGAAGTATGGTCACTATCACAACTTGGAAATGCGGAAGCCAAAATTATGCTCCACACACAACTTTGAGCTACCTGGCCAAACAGTTGGTTTTTGTGTTGGTTTGTGGATAATGTTGGCCAAAACACGTTGGATAACTCCTCCAGTTTCAAAATATTGCCATGGGGTCTTTAACTCCACTTGTGGGATGTCATGTTGCGGCTGTACAAGACATTGGTGAGGCCACTTTTGGCATACTGCGTACAATTCTGGTCGCTCTTCTTTAGGAAGCTTGTTGTTAATCTTGAGAGGGTGCAGTAAAGGTTTACAAGGATGTTGCAGGGACTGGATGGTTTCAGTTAGAGGGAGAGGCTGAATAGGCTGGGGCTATTTTCCCTGGAGTGTCGGAGGCTGAGGGGGTGACCTTAGATTTATAAAATCATGAGGGGCATGGATAGGGTTAATAGCCGAGGTCTTTTTCCCAGGCTGGAAAAGTCCAAAACTAGAGGGCATAGCTTTAAGGTGAGAGGGGAAAGATTTAAAAAGGACCTGAGAGGTAACATTTTCAGAGGGTGGGGCATGTATGGATTGAGGTGCCAGAGGAAGTGATGGAGGCTGGTACAAAGACAACATTTAAAAGGCATCTGGATGGCTATGTGAATAGGAAGCAATTAGAGGGATATGGGCCAAATGCTGGCAAATGGGACTAGGTCAGATTGGTCTGTCTGGTTAGCGCAGACAAGTTGGATTGAAGAGTCTGTTTCTGTGCTGCATGACTCTATGACTTTATGAAGAAGCAGGATATGCCTCAGTCTCAGGCTTCATCTGAAAGGCCATGCATCCAGAACTGTAGCACTTCCCCACTGCCACACTGTAATCCCATTTTGTATGTTGGACTGGATGACTGCCATACGTTGAATCACAGGAACACATTCTATGTCTGTTAGCTGGGAAGATGTACATTCGCCTCCCTGTAAGGTTCCAGGTTTAAAATGTTCGCAGGTTGCTGAAGATTGAATTGAATAATTGTGTTTTTGCAAAATTATACCTACAAATATAAACACCTAAACAATTATATAAATCTAGGTTTTATTTAATGAATCTTTCAATTAGAATTATCGCCTCGAAACATTCACTTCACTGCCTCAGTGGCAACTTTTAGTTGGTATTTTTAATGATCATTAAATCTAAACAGCAAAAGGTTGAGCAGCATTGGCTTGGGCTGTACAGTGTTACTGTTTACCACATGGTTTGTGGCTGTTAGAGGGTGGATAAAAGAATGGGCAAAACAATTACTGTAAGATCTCAGAGGATACGTCTGGGTGGGGCACACCACAGGAAGCAAAATATGTTGGAAACTTCTTCAGTGTTATAGCTTGAAGTGTTAACATCGAACAGTACAGGCCCACAAATGTTGTGCCAACCTATTATTCTACTCTAAGATCAAACTACCCTGCATACCCTACATTTTACTATCATCCATGTGCCTATCCAAGAGTCGCTTAAACATCCCTAATGTATCTGACTCCACTACCACTGTGGGCAGTGCATTCCACGCACCCACCACTCTCTGTGTAAAGAACCTACCTCTGACACTTCCCCTATACCTTCCCCCAATCACCATAAAATTATGCCCCCTCGTAATAGTCATTTCCGCCCTGAGAAAAAGTCTGTGGCTATCCACTCTTTCTCTGCCTGTCATCATCTT